GCCTCCTAGGTGACCTTGGGCTAGTCACAGTTCTCTCAGAACTCTCTCAGCCCCACCTACCTCATTAGGTGACTGTTGTAAGGAGAGGCAGAGAAGGCAGTTGTAAGCCACTTTGAGACTCCTGAATGTAGAGAAAAGTGGGGTATAAAAATCTTTTCTTCTTCATCATCCCTTTTCCCAAAGTGTGCCATCTTAAACTCTGCCCCCAGTTTCCAGGAATTTTCCAACTTGGAATTGGCAAACCTGCTATATCTTCTTGCTGCTTCTCCAGCAACTGGAAGTGAGCCCCCACCCCCGCAGCAGCCATTTAAGGTCTAGGCAACACGTCCAGTACAAAGTGGGTGGTACAGAACTGACGGTAGTATAATTGTGACAGGTATGTAGGTGTGTGTGTGTGGGGGGGGGTTCTCATTATTCAATATTGTCCTGTGTGAAAAACATTTTGCAAATATAAAGTGAGTAACGGCCAGTGGGTAAATACAATAAATTACTTGACTTGACTTGACTTGACTTGACTTGAGTACATCAGGGAGAAAAGTTCTAGTCCAGTCCTCTCCCTACAGTGACAATTTTTGACTTTGAGGGAAGTTTTACATAGGGAGAATCTGCATTCTGAAATAGTGCAGTCCACATTATTGCCTCATTTTCATGTAACTAGGCCTTACACAAACTTCCCTGGGAGTAGGAGAGGGAATGATGTGGGCAAAACAAAACTTTGACTCTGTTCACTCCCTGTATTTATTCCACTCACAGTAGGGCACTTGAAGTACAAGATACATAAGCAGAACATGGAGCTTTTGGTTGTGTTTTTGTATTATATGAATTTGTTTGTTTGTGGTCTGAAGAGGATAAGGAGACTACCAAAACTTGAACAAAGTATGTTTTTGCTGTTTTGGGAAGAGCCAAATAATCAGCACAAGAAAATGTCACTGAGCGAAAAATATTTATTGTCATTTTTGTCATCTCAGTTCTGTCAAAATATACAAAGTTGTGATGCCTTTGGAGAATAGTAGCCACTTCAAAAATTGCTGTAAGCCACCTTGGATGATGCAGTAGGGTCAGATGCAAATTATTATTTTTTTGTAAACCTACTTTTTATGTTAAGACTATCAATCAAATTAGTGGGGGGGGGGGACTCCAAACGAGAAAGACTGTCCTAACAAAACTTCCTGTAGAGGAAGAAGTTTTGTTTATGTTGTGTTTTTGAAGTGCACCTCTAAAACATTTCAATCTTTATAAAGTATGGGGAATATTCTGTCAATTTTAGTTCTTGTGCTTCTTTAAACCATCTTACCTTTTGATGCGATATTACAGAGTTTATCTACACAATCTAATCTGAGATCAATTTGAAGCCATATGTGAGGAAAGATAAAGAGCAAAAGAATTTTTTTCCCCCTGGTAGGAGTATATAACAAATCAGTGAGGAGTTTTTGAATGTAATTTGCACAAAGAGCACCCTTAAAATTTAGGGTACCTACTAACTGTTTCTTCCACACATAGCAGATAAATTCCTTGAACCTGTAAAACCTCTGCATTGAAGAAACTATGTCACCATTTTATGACACTGGATTATGTTGGTTTATACAAAAGATCCTGTCTTCTCAACAAGCTATTAAAAGTCCCATAAAGCTGGATGGAGAAAATATTGTATGTGTGACCTATATTCACCTACCTATAGAAAGTCCTGACCTGGATGGTCCAAGCTAGCGTGATCTCAGAAACGAAGCTGAGTTGGCACTGTTTAGTATTTGGATGGGAGACCACCAAGGAATTTCAGGATCACCGTGCAGAGTAAGGCAATGGCAAACTACCTCTGTTAGTCTCTTGCCTTAAAAACCCTTCAGGGTCACCATCATTTGGCTGCAACTTGACAGCACTTTACACACACTCATACACACACCTGTAGAAAACCAAGCTTTGCTTGAATTTGTGATTTCATAGCTTGACACATTCTCTCCTTTTGGCATGTTGTATTGACAAGATACATGAAATGTCTCAGAAGTTTACACACTGCAATGTGTACTTAGTGCTGATATTTTAGTAGACACATCACTTTGTGTACTTATAATTCTGTTGTGTGATTCTGATGAAAGCTGGAATTGTGAAATACCCAGAAATAAAAATTATTGTATGTGTAATGAGATAGAATTGGCAGTTATTGTGTGTTTTTAAGGAGTCAAGAGTGTAAATTGAATAGTATTTTAGTATCAAACACAGTTACTAACACCCTAACCAGTATCTTCTGTTACTGGGAAGCTTGAAATCTCTACTTCTCAGGAATGTATTTTGTTCTCTCAGAGCTGGCCAAAAAGAGGTCTGAATTGGAGTGGATGTTTTGCAGGGTTCAGGCTTGTTGGCAGAGGCTCCTTTGAGCAAAATATGTAAACACCCTATATACAAAGAGAACTGGGATCTAGCTAGTAGGATATTTTCCTGTCACAAACCCTTAGCAGCTTATTTTTCAATTAGAACATAACTATCATTCCTCTTAAAATGGACTCTGCTTATTCTCTCACGCTTGTGGTGTTTATAGTGTATCTTGAATTGGTTGTACAAATGCTCTATCTTTCCTTGTTCTGGAGAGGTAAGGCCATGGAAGAGGCTAACCTTCTCCTGTTATTCCTGTCACAGTATGGAGCGTACTGAATGCTCTTTTAAATGTGGTTTTAAGAAGCATTTAAGAACTGCTATAAGCTGATGTTTTTCCACTACATTATCTAATTAGGTTTCCATTGAAGGAAATTCAGCTCCTGTAGTTCAAGATAATATGCAGAACCTCAGAAGACATTTAGAGGTGGTTGCAAGCAGAACTCTCTCATGTGACTGTACCACTTCAGCGTGCATATGGGGGGGATTTAGTTTTTTGAAATTTTCCTCTGGTCAAAATTTCCTTCACTGTGGAAACATTACTTTTCAAATCGAAGGTTAGGCTATAAGTCTTTTACCTTGAGCTATCAGGGTGAAGAGAGATTATGGCCTGGGTGTGCTTTCAGACTAGCAGACTGTCTGCCAACTGCAGTGAATAAAGTTATATCCAAGGACTGTACCACAGGTCTATCTATCTTTGTTTAATCATATTTCAAGTGCCTCACCAGAGCAGTAGTATTGTGGTTTGTAAATCTTGGGTGGTACATGGTGTGCTTTCAGGAAGCATGTTAGATTATGAAAATAAATAGAAGAATGCAGTGATGAATAGTAAACTACTACCAAACATCTCACTGACAGGAAGCAGTGTAAACATAGCCATGCGGCCTTGCTACTTTGCAGTATTTCCGCTTTCTCTTCACCTCTGTTTGGCTGCATCAACTCAACTAATTAAGCTTTAAATCGAACTTTATGAGCATCCACAACATGAAACCATTTTGCGATTTGTCAGCAGCAAGCATACATGAATATTGCTCTCCCACACAATAAAGTATCATTTGTGAAAGAAGAGCCATATTATTTTGCATAATGGTCATTTGCCCATTATTTTAACCCAGGGGTTTGCAATTTACAGCTCAGTATAGGACCTAATATGGCTCTTTAATACAGATTATTCTGATATTACAGACATGTTTGAAGTGCCATTCATTTCCATAAAATATATCAGATGAATTGTTGTCATTTTTTCTAGATTTCTATCCTTTACATATATATTATGAATTAATTGCCAGATGCCACATGTGTGGAATAAACCAAAAAAACTTTTAAGCCACAACTTTTTGCTCAAATTATTCTCGTCATTCACAAAAAACAACACAACCCTGTCCAACCAAGCAGACATACAAAAAACCCTCTCAGATGAACTAATTTCATATCTAACTTGTTTTTCTTTGCTGTCTTTTTACCCCCGTCTGTTTGTTGTTTTGATAGGAAAAAAGAGGTTTAATTCTTTTAGGGATGTAAAATAAATTAAAATACCCTCTGTATGTCATTATTAACATAGCCAATTTACAAAACCCTTTATAAGAAAAATGGCTTTGTAATGGGGACACTGTCAGGCTTTTAACTACACACTGCTGGGAGCTGCTCTAATAATGTCTAATGCAGTTTTAGGGAAGTGAATCAGTGGCAGAAAGCAGGATCGCTGCTTGACTGCTCCCTTTCCTGACAGGAAGAAAAGGACAGTGATCAAGCTGAGGTCTTCAAAGGAGGCCCTTAAATCACTGGATAACATGAAGAATGGGATGTACACAGTCTGCAGTAGAAAGGCAGGAACAAAGCATTTGAATTGTAGTGAGACAGATAATTCTTGCAGGAACATTTAGATGACTCCGATCTTTTTCCATTGCACATTAAACAGTACCAAAGTGCACCAAAGATAATGGAAAATGCTCTGTGCAGTTTTTCTTTTTTTGTAGTTGTTTATGACATGACATTGGTAATGAGGCACTGTATCTAAAACTCTGCCAAGAAGGGTCCCATACTGCCATTTAGCCATGCACAGACACTTAAAACTGGATTGCCAAAATAATAGTACTATGTACTTATTTAGCTTTTCCCCCCTTATAAATGTGGGATGTAACCTCTGTAGAAGGTTCCCCTCATCTTTCAATTTTTTTAAATTCTTTTTTTAAATTTTAGGTGGTAAAAATAGAGAAGATAATTACATAATGGATCTAGTTCTTTTGGTTTTGGCATAGAAATTCAAATGTCACAGTAACATTTAAGATGATAGGATAGCAAGGGATGACTTTATTTCAGTCTCTTAAATGCTGTATTAGTTGTGTGATTTGTTTTTTTGGTGAAATTACAAATAGTGATTTGCCAGGGGTGGCGGCTACTCGGAGAGAGATCCAAGTTATAAGGGTTATTAATTTCTGTTCCTCAGAATATTGGAAGAAGCTTAGTTTAGGGGGGGGGGAACTGAGAGGGAAAGAAAACATTTACACTCCAAAGAACAGACACGGGATTTAATCAGTTCAGTCTGCATGTTAAAGGGAAAAAAAATATTGGCTGGTGTTGGCATTTAAACTAATGTGACTCCCCTTCTCCCCTTATTTTGACAGGTAACTCTTCCTGAATCATGGCACAGTGACAATCAGTGACAAAAGAGTGAGGCCATTCAGGTTTGTTCTTTTTGTTAAATGTTTGCTTTTAAATATGTAGTACAGTGTGAGGCATAGCTTTGGTTAGAAATTGCTGATGTATCACTCGTATGTGATGTCTGTGGGGTAGTTTCATTATCACTGTGAGTGTAGCCATAAACTCCCGTCTCAGTATGCTTTTTGGAGATTTTTCCAAAGTTTATGGTTGCTTACTTTATAATCAGGAATCTGATCTAGCTACCTATTCCAAAAACATGAGTTAGGGGGGGGGGATAGTGGTAGTGTCTCCATTTATTTATGTCTATGGAGCACAATCATATAATATGCACATTGGTCCTTCCACCAAAGTCATTAAATGCATAAATGACCTCCACCCTCGGCATACAGGAACTGCATGCGCTCGTCAGAATGCAAAGTAATAGCATATTGGGAAAATGATAGTTGTGTGGATCCGCCCATATTCACAAGAGAATATTGACTTGTGCTTCTATGAGACACACCTCACTGTTGGAGGTAAAGTGCCACGTTGACAGCCATCAGGTCAAAATGGCAAGAGGACTCTTGGAGTTATATACCTCTTTTATCCTTCTGTCTGCACTTTAATCTAATATCAGATTCAATTGATACTATTGATTACGTTCCCTTCAAACCCGTATTCAGTATATGGTACAGAACACAATGTGTGGTAAAATGTTATTCTTTTTCTATGTGACTTGAGCATAAAAGGTGAAAGTATACAATTAATTTGCCAGCACTTTCTTCAAAATTGTATGCTGGATTTCTGTGAAACGCTGTATGGCGCAATATTCCAAGTAAATTATTGTTATTTACTATGATTTTTTTGCCTGCATATTTAAAGTCAACAATTATGTTTCCCTTTTATACTTAATGGCTTTGTACAGTATTTTTAGAAACCTGGTCAAGTCTTACTTTATTGAGTCTGAGCACTTGATTTGCACAGAACAGATTTAAAAATACACCATCAGAACTTCAACTACTTTTCTATATCCATTAACACATACACAATGTTTTAAAATTTTGAGAAGTGCTCTTACGACACAAAAATGGTGTGAGGAAACTAGAGAAAGTCCTTGAATATATTCCATTATTCCTCTTATATTGATACACTGGGATCTGTGACATGAGTTGCTGACATCTTTCTAACTCTGTATTGTCAGGGGTCAGAACAGTACCGACAATGACTGGCATGCTTTGAGAACTCTATGAAAATGATACATAAACACAGGGGTCATTTGGGGGGGGGACGCGGGGGACGCCATCCCCCCGGGTGAGGTGCGGGAGGGCGGGGCCTGGAGCTCCCTGCTGGTGCCCGCTGGAGGTCGCCGCCGGCTGTGGGGAGGACACACTTCCGGTGATGTCAGGGGGTGTGGCATATGCTAATGAGTTATGCTAATGAGTCCCCCTAGCTCTTTTTCTACGAAATGACCCCTGCATAAACATTACTATTTTTGTAATATACATTTTAAGGGCTGCTGTGGGTAGTTGTGTCAAGAGTGAATGGGGTTCGGTGACCACTATGTAGTGGATATTCAAGACTTTGCAAATGGCAACAGCACAGTGGGCTTTATGAATGGTGCAAATGTCAACAAAGAAACATACCTTTGACACAGAAGATATCAGTAATTATCAATCAAGCTCATATGTTCTGTTCTTGAGCAAGGTGATTGAACAGGTGCTGGCTGGGCAACTCCAAGCCTTCCTTGATGAGGCAAATTATTTCAATCCCTTCCAGTCTGGTTTCAGGACTTGTTGTAAGACTGAAACAACCTTGGTAGCCCTGGTGGATGACTTGGGTCAGGAAACGGACAGAGGGAGTATGACTCTGTTGATTCTCCTGAACTTCTCTGCAGTTTTTGATACCATCAATCATGGCATTCTTCTGGATTGTCTATCTTGACTGGGATTGGGAGGCACCACTGTGTGGTGACTCCAGTCCTACCTAGAGGGTAGGTTTCAGAAGCCTGGTGTTGGTGGTCTACTGTTCAGCCCCATGACCTTTGGCTTTGTCCCTATGCTTTTTGACATCTACATGAAACTGCTGGGTAAGGTCATCTGGAGATTTGGGCTGGGATGTCAGCAATATGCTGGTGACACTCAGCTCTATCTTGCACTTCCAGCTGATTCTGTGGAGTGAAGCCCCGCCCCCAAGCCTGAACACCTGTAGCCATCCTTCTCCCTTGTCTCTTGAGAGAGGGGAGGGAGATCGGGCGCGTGGGGCCCTCCAGCTGTGAGCACTTAAAGGGACTCCGAACACCCAGCAACTGCTCTTCCTAAGTGGGGGGCGTTGGCTGCATGGCAGGAGTGCTTGGCCCTTGCTCCTCCCCACCATTTAAAGGGAAGTTTCCCTTTAATTGGTAGGGGAAAAGCGGGGATGTGATGACATCATGCAGAGTGACGTCATCACGCTAGGGTGGCCCCCCCCCGGAATGCTCCCTAATCCCCCTGCCGGGGAGAAGATCAGACCTGGCAACCCTGCGTAGGGACCATATCATTCCAGTCTTGACCCACCTATACTGGCTTCCAATTTGGTTTTGGTCACCATTCTTGACTTTCAAAGACCTATATGGTTTGGGATTGACATACTTGAAGGACTGCCTAATCCTTTATGAACTTGCCCGACTGTTATGCTCGTCTTTGGAGGCCATGCTTCAGGTGCACCTGCCTTCTGAGATTAGGTGGGAGGCAACCTGGGAGAGGGCTTTCTTGGTCATGGTAGCAAAGCTCTGGAACTCTGGCCTCAGGGAGATTCATCTGTCCCTTTCTGTTGCCATCTTCTGCCAGTGGGTAAAGACTTCTTTGTTTTGTTTGGCATTCCCTCAATCATCCCTCCTTCCTAACCAATGTATCTATGTATTGCATATATTTTAACTGCTTTATGTGTATTTTAGCTCTGTTTTCTAACTATTTTAAAAGTTGTTTTAATGAGATAGTGGTTAAGAGAGTTAAGACTAGTATTTGGGAGACCTGACTTCGAATCCCCTCTCGTGCCATGGGAGCTCACTGGGTGACCTTCGGCCAGACACACTCTCAAAGGGTTGTTGCGAGGATAAAATGGAGGAGAGGAGAACAATGTTAGCTGCTTTGGGTCACCACTGGGAAGAAAGGGTGTGTGTGTTGAGGATGTTTCCATGACTGATTGGAACTGTACCTTTGGGGTTGGATCCAAACTACATTTTCCACTAACAGGAAGAAAGAGGTAATTTCCATCAATTCCTCTTCCTGCTGCAGACCACGAATTTCCCTCTCCTTAATAACCCCTGTCTTCCAGGAGCAGCATTTCAAGGAGATCATTGGGCTGCAGTGCGAAGTGAAAGAAGAATAAGAAGAGTTGGTTTTATACCCTGCCCTCCCCTACCCAAAGGAGTCTCAGAGTGGCTTAAAAGCACCTTCCCAGAGCTACGAGAGCTCTGAGAGAGCTGTGACTCACCCAAGGTCACCCAGCAGGCTTCATGTGGAGGAGTGGGGAATCAAACCCGGTTCTCCAGATTAGAGTCCCGCTGCTCTTAACGGCTACACCAAACTGGCTCTCAGGGCAGGAAGGTTATGTTCCACTGTGAAATGTGCCTTGCAGGAGCAAACAAATTAATTTCGATCCAACCTGTATTCATTTGGTACCTGCGTTCAGTGTTCCCTCTAGTTTTTTTTCTCTACTGAGCCGAGCAGTTCACACTGTGAGCAGAATATAACTGTTGTAATTTTAAAAATGCGCAATGGGCAGGGCAAGACCCTATATGGCTCCAGATAGCTGCTGAGCAGGGCTTCCTGTGTTAATGAGCAGCCGCTCATATGCACAGGTTACAGGGAATGCTGCCTTTATTCGGTAGACACATTCACTCTTGTATTGCTCAAGGTCTCATACTCTCACCAAACTTTATCCATTTTTCTCTTGAGGCTGCAAGCTCTTTCCCAGAACACTGGTGTTGCTTACCGTGGGATCTTGTCATCAAACCTGCTTCTGCAAACCCTGTCTTCAGCCACTCTTCCTGTTTTTCACTGGTGTTTTAATTGCTGACTTTAGATTTCTTCAGTCTTGATATCTGAGCTACTTTTAACATAATGTTCTGTGCTCACCCATAAAAGTCATCTTCATAATTGTTGGAGCTGAATCTGTGAACCCAAGTGATATATATAAGATCCTTTTCACACATCATTCGTGGAGTCACCGTCCTTTACTCTTACATGGATGGAGTTTGTAGAAGGAGAAAAGAATATTCCTAACAGCTCTGTCCTCTCCCGTTGTTTTGGAGACTTATCTTCAGCAGTGGCTATTGGATGGATCAGGGAGAGGCTTTTGGTGGGAAGGGAAAGCAAATACACAAAATGTCATTAATTTCAGAATTTATTGCGTGTTACCAGAATTACAAGATTCACTTCCAAAATAGATGCAGCCAAATAGATGCAGTTGGCATGCAACGTTTAGCGTTAGGCACAAATTCAGTACACACCAAGTATTTTTGATAATGAACTTGGACTGTGTCTATGTGGTAATTGAATTTCTGTTTGCTGTTATGAGTTTGACCTTCATAGAACCACTGATTTGACTTGATTTTGGAGGTGCTGACTTGAATTGCCAGGCCTGCCAGGAATATAATAGTGGTGGCATGCCTATTTGCATATGCTTGGATAACACATGGCATTTAAAAATTATTGCTAGAAGCATCATTACGGGAAAGGTCTTTTCAGTGGTTCACAGAAGGAACAGTCATGCCTGCGCCAGACATCAAAGCTGAAGTTATGTTGAATCAGCATCATTCCATTTGTTTGCATCAGTATTGTTCTTCATTAGACAAAGTATATTTTTTTTCTGCATATAAGTTATCAGTTGTAAGTTGTATTCATAGTCACTCTGGCTGGTGAAGGCAGCCCAGAAGAAGTTGATCTGATCTGGGATACGCTAACCTGGACAGAGACAACAATGTTTGTGATCACTACTGCCCTGCATGGAAAACCAAACCTCCTTTCT